TCTTTTTTGACTCACTCAGTGAAAGACATATTTGATCATTAACCAACAATGTCACATATTATGAGGTCTCATTTAAAAAACCTTAGTTCAATTTGTCACAAAATTTTTCAGAAGGATAATTTTTCATAGTAGATGTGTATCTAGCCCTGTTTTTCTTTTTTTTTTTTGGTGGGGGTGGAGTTGCTTTGTTTTGATGGAAGCTTGCATCACTTTACATCAGCAACAGACACAGCAGCAGTCTGGACGTCCCCAAGCCATGAAGATACCTCACCTTTACAGCTGTGAAAGCATGTTCAATCTACACATCATCACTCATCATAAAGGCTCTATGATGCTAAATTTGAGAACTTATTAGGAACATGCTGCAAAATCTTTTTTTTTCTTTTTTTTTTTTTAGCCTGGTTTATGTGATGGCTAGCTACAGTAGAAGTTAGGCATCAGTGGTATGAGTATATGCCACTTAGTTATTTAGTTTTTTGTTTACTTCGTTCGTAAAATGAAGAAACATTATGCCCTAAATTATAGGGAAGAGATCACATATTTTTTTTCTTTCCACTGTATTTTTTTTCACAAAAATCATTAGCTGATTTTTAAAATATTTTATCATTGTTTTGTCAATATTTTTTAAAATGAAGACACTTTCTGTCCATATTAAAAACAATCCGGCACAAGACCGTAAAAAATAAGTAATTCCTTTATTCCCAATTTATCCATTGAAACACATGTTATGCACATACACACAGCATTCACCTTACGTCACCCACCCACATCTTGTTCCCACCCTCCACTCAATAAAACTTTTGCATGCCCGAGGTGTTGTAATTGGCAGCCGATTTGCCATACCGATAGACTCCTTTCAGTCCTATGGGTCAAGAGTAATTTACTGAGCTGCTAAATGGCTTCTTTTTTTCTCTCTTTTTACGAGTCCAAACCCCACTCCACTGCCTTCTCCAGCATCCATATTGGAATTCCCATCCAGTCTGTATTACAAGCAGAGATGATGGCTTAATCCCTTGTTAATTAGGGACAACATCTCCAGCAGCTGAGGCTAAAGTGAAGAGCAGCTAAGGCTCCAGGGATGTGAGCACTCTGGCCGAGCTTGTGGCCTAGTCTTAGAGCCTGGCTCATGTTCAATGGACTGGCTGTGGATGGGGGGCACCGGAGCTTGGATCTCTCACTGGATGAGGATTAAAAGGGCCTCCTGCCTAATCCCCCATTGATGGCCCATCTCGGCTAATGGAACTTGGACAACTGGGCAACCGGATGCTGCTTGTGGTCCAGGTCTCCTCTAAACCACTTCCTCTTTAGTTGGGTCAGGCTGCCACTGTGGCTGTGGCAGTTTTTTTTTCTTGGAGATTTAGTATTTGCTGGCCTCAATAATACTTTTAGACTGCACAAATCATGTAAAGTGCCTTTTCCCTGAGATGTGTTGATCATATTTATACACCCAAGTCTTTCTATTCACAATATTTAAATAGATTATGTAAGATTATCTTAAATTCTTTTTAAATATGTCTCATACAAGTACTACTCATTGAATGAGAATATCATGAAAAATTTAATTAAAAACATACAAATTGAAAAATTGAAACCCGTATATTTCACGATTCTTGTAATCACAGGAACAAATTGTTAAGGCATTTCTTTATGCATTTTGATATTTAATGTTTAAAAAACAATAATAAATTAAAAAAGCAAAAAAACAAAAACAGATCATTTTTTTTTCACCTACAAGGAATTGATGCATCATAAGGAATCTAATCATAAGGAAACATTTTCATATAATGTAAAACAAGGTGAGACAGAGGAGTAGATGTTGGGAGTGTCATGAGTGTTTTGGGTAAACTGCTTTCACACCAGGACTCATGGTCTTTCTTCCTGCACAGCTACAGCCTTTACATCAAAACATGAAAAATAAAATCCAAAGGATAGAGAGCTATCACTCCTCTGGGTCTAGGTCTACATTAATTTAGTGTAGGGAAAAATGTGTTTCTTATGTGTTATTTATTTCTTTTTTTATTTTTCTTTATTCCAAGAAAACATACAATAATTGTGTAATAATAGTGCAAATAGAAAAACTATAACAGACTTTCTATAGAATCATTACCGAACCAAGAGTAAAGTGAGGGGCCAAACCATAAATCTGTCCTTCTTCTGACAAAATTCCTTCCTTCCTTCTAGGGCAGTGTTTCCCAACCGGGGGTACGCATACCCTTAGTGGTCCACGGATGCATTGCAAGATGTAAATGAAAAGTTTCTTAGGTAGTAAAATGAAATAGGGCTGGAACCTGTTTTGTTTTTTGGGGACCCAATTAAATAATTAAATAAGCTTTTATCAACTGAAAGTAAGTTTGTCTTTAAGTTCACCTTCTGCTTTGATACATCAAAACCAAACAAAGTAACAGACTAGATGTAGAGAACAGCCTGGTATCAGCTGTTTTTACAACAGAGCTATCGGAGCACACAGAGAGCTCAGTTGTCTTGAGGAAAACAAAGTAAAACTAAATAAGTCAGTCTGACTATAATTTTTGTTCTGCATTTTGTCCCCAATTCATCAAGTTTAAATGTAATTATAAGGGAGTTACTCAGATGAGCAGCAGTTTTATGAACACAGGTGTATAATAGTATTTTATTTTGTATTTATTTTGATTCCTCATTAACTTTCAGGTAACACATTTATGTTTTTCATTCGAGATGGAAAGAATGAAATGCCTAAGAATTAAATGCTCAAGTTAAAATAAAAATAGTTTTTATTTTACAATGAGTTATTGTACGTTCCACTTATCAACATACTTTTGACTGAGATGGGTACTCATGGTACAAAAAAAGTGCCCAAAGGGGTACACAAGTCAAAAAAAGTTGGGAAACACTGTTCTAGGGGTTTAGGTGACAACAAGGGAGCAAGGAAGGTCATGGCAATCTCTAAGGATGCACAGTACCTGACTGTAGGAGGTTGGTGCTTGAAAATGTAACAGTACATCTAATTGGCTCATCCTGTTCTCTCATGGTTTTATTAGTGGAGTGCTTACATTTTTGGAGTCCATTTTATAGACTGCAGTCTGAAGCACCAGGACTCAGTTTTGTGGCCCTGGGTCATTGTCATTTTATTTTGAGTTTTAAGAACCTTAGATTATCTTTGTTAAGCTTTGTGGTAAATCAGTTGAACCATTCTACCCCTTCAGCCAGTTGTCAGCAATAATTAATCTATGAGGGTTTCTGCAGTATTTGTTAGTTCAATCCCTAATTCTATGCTCACTCTGTTTTTTCTCGTCATAGTAGCTACATCTGATCTGTTCCTGTTTGACTGTGACACCATTTTGCAAAGAAAAATCTGATGGGCTGGTGCAATCATTGTGTTTAACTACAAATGACAGAGTGGGGTCTGTTTTTCAGTGCTAAGTTCTGTATTTATCGATCAGTGTTTCTATGTTCCTCTTGTACCCTTTGAACCCCCAGTCACCCTTGGCAGAAGGCTGCGAACACTGAATCTGGTTCTACTGGAGGTTTTTCTCCTGCTAAAAGGGAGTTTTTCCTCTCCACTGTTGCTGTATCCCTGCTTGGTTTGAGGGGATTATTATAGATAGTGTTAGGCATATATCAATCATACCAACTGAGCACTGCTGTATTTTTCAATGGAAAAGACCAACGTTACTATGCCATTCCTGCAAAAGGCACCACTAGTCCGGCGTCATCTGCACATTATTATGCACGTCATCAGCAGGAAAGCATCAGCTTTGGTTGCACCAGTCATCTTTACTCCACAATCAAATTAGCCCTGATGAGGCTTGAGCGCTGTGACCTCCATGGGCCCAGTCACTTCCTAGCCTCACAGAAGACAGAGAAGATCTAAGAGTTTTATTCTTTAGGGAGAACAGGGGTTTACATACTGATTTCTGATTATATTACCTACTCATTTTGTTAATATATTTACTTTGGAAGTGACTGCATTATGGAAAAACTGATCCTCCAACCAGGTGCTTTTAAGTTGTTGTTATCTATGAAAAGCTTAGAATTTACAAAAGGTCTTTTGTATTTATTATACTTTTGATTGGTTCCTGAAACTAGCATATATGTTTGATGCTCTGACTTTGGCAGTCAGCCCAGTGCTCCTAAATCCCTTTTGGACATGCCTTCCCACTATCTCCCTCCTTTCTTATCTGTCACCTATCGTTAACGCTTTTCTGATACACTTTGATCAGATGTGAACGTGAATGCCTGCTGCTGCCGCTGCTAATTCATTGTTTTCTCCACATCATACAAAAAGTGGACTCAGAGTTTGGATTTGAATCTGTTAGAGAATCATTTAAAGAAGCTAAATGACTGGGAATAATATAGCAGTCTTTGATTATTATCAGAACTAAATTTCCTCAATACGTATTTCTTGTACTGTACAAATTTTCTGTTATTTCAAAGGCATGGTGAAGCTCTCAGCTGCACAATCATAAATGTTTTTTTCACAGCTATATGGTTGGATAACATGAGACTGAGTCACTAAACCAACTTTATTTCACTTAAACCCATGAAAGAGCCAAGCAGAATACGAAGTATTTCATGCCATACAGGCTTTGAATATCTGGATGGCTTGGTCCCTCCAAGTGTTAAGAAGTTCATCATCTAATCACAGTCCCAGAAAAATATCTTTCCCCAGAAATGTTTAACAGGATGGAATATTAACCTTATTTTTGCTTTTTTTGTTTGGTATCATCCAACATTTAATTAGCAACAGAACAAACAATTAGTTATAATGATTAACATTATATGAGGAAAGAGGAAAACAAAGACATGCTTTGAAATATGTGAGTGGCACAGGATGATTTGATCTTTTTTAAAGTGCACCAGAATAAGTTGCAGGGTCAAGGAGAAATAGCGATTTAAAAATGTGTAGTATAGTAGCTGATTTTCAAATAATACCTGTTATCTGCAATGCCCATTCCTGTTCTTCATCAGGAAAGCTCTAATATATATTGAGCAAATTTATGAAACAAGCCTTTCTATTACAGGAGCGCTCCAGCTTTGCCCAGCTGACCTGCAGATTTGATATGGATCAGTGAGGACTCGCTGAGAGAGCGGAGCGTGGAAGAACATGGAAAGAAATCACAATCAGATCACACAATTACACTCCGGATGACTGCAGATTGGGTGGCAGCTGAATGGTCTCAGTGAAGGTTGAAAACGAGAGAGAAGGTTTCAGCAGGAAGTTCATGTCCTGTAATTTTCAAACATGTTAAAAGTGATATCTTGACAGTTTGAATATTTTTTTTTCTTTCAGACCACACTGCGGAGGAGGAATGGTTGACACTTACCCTGTTAGCACTTAAAGAGAAAATCATCTTGTTAAAGTTGTTAGGATTCTGACCTTTAGCACAGTAATTTTAAAAAGTGTTGAACAGAGAAAAGTGAAAAGAAAGGAAAATTTTATGTTAAGCGACATTAGGTCGATACTCTTCGTAACTGTTCATTTATCCTTAATAGTATATTTATGTTGAGCAACTGATAAAATATATTAGACATCTCAGATACTGCATTATTAGATTATGTTCAAGGGAGGATTCTTAGAATAATTAATTTGCAAGCAATGATTAAAAATACAATATAATGTCACTTTTTGAACTCTAACTGTTGGAGGCACTGCTTGTGATAAAAGTTTAGTAGAAAGTTTGGGAGCTTTAGGCTGGTGTCTGTGGAGATTCCCATAGTTTCCTAACAATTAACATGGGTATTTTTATAGATTTAAAAAGCAAATACCAACATGAAAAAAGCTAACATAATAAAACACTAGCATAAATAGTTCATTGTTTCTACTACAGTAGCTTATAAGTTTCAAGTAACAAAGTATTACGACTACAACACAGCCAGTAATGGTGCTCTGTTGAGTTTTAAATCTGAGTTGATTCTCGGCAGAAGAGATATGAACAAAAAAGTTTCTTTGAAAATGAAATCCTATGGCTATTTTGAGTTATTGTTCACCAGATATGAAAAATGATTAGAATTTCAATACCTTCGTAAAACATCTGGATAATGTTTGGATGTTTTAGATTTTGATGTTTGAATCTGTCTGCCCAGTTACGGTAGTAGCACGGTAACAGAACCTGCCCTCAAACCACCAATGAAGGTTACATAGGACTCTCAGGAATGCACTTATCTACAAATCTAGATTTGGGATTCTCCAATTTCAGTCTCAAAATGTACCTACTGTAAGGATACTTATGATTATGTCATATTGCAATTTGTTTCTCAGTTCACTAGACCTTTTGTGTTCATGCTCTATTTCGTTTGTGGCTTTTCAACTGTCCTCCTTTGTTCCACTTTATCTTGTTTTTTCTCTCCAACAGCAGGCTTAAATACTGATAGAACTCACTCTGGATTTGATTAAATTCCTACACTGCACAATCAGACAGCAGACATAAATATCTGGGGGCATCTTAGAGAGAGACGAATCAGTTAAAGAGGACTGAGTGTAGATCAGGTTTCTATCCCTGATGAATATCGATGCGACTTGACCGGTTGCAAAGTGACTCAATGTGTCAGCTCTAAAGAGAGAAGCCATTATATCATTAGAGCTAATTTCATCTTGCTCTACTTGCTCCTCATTGTTATTCAGTCATTCAGTGAGGATGCATTTACAGCTGATTCACAACTATCCATTATTCTATTTTTTACTGGGTTCAGAAAACCAGTATTGCAGTCTTTGAATTTCAGTTTTGCAGATTTTTAGCTTTTAGCGGTTGGTAATTTTCAGATTCCACTTAAATCAAAGCAGTTATACTACAAAGGATGACAACTGGTTTGTTTTCAGGAGAACAGCTTATTGAGCATTTATATCACTTCCCCGTTTTTCCTCAGGTCATCCTATTATATCCACCTTACCGTTGCCTGTGTTTGCCTCACAACCATGGGGACCAGGGCTGTCTAATGCTCTGCTCCCAAACTCTGGAATTCTCTCCCACCAGACATTTGTAACATTGACACTCTTTCTGCTTTTCCACTGCTCACTCCTGCATTATGTAACTTTTGGCTTATATGATGCAGTTTTTTTTACAAAATGGTGGTAGACAGGATGATTCTCCTGTTGCAGCCTGTCTTAAAGTACAGTGGTCTGAAGAAGCCTCTGACTGAAGAAACTATTATTGAATGACTGCCTTGTGGAAAGGGTGCCCAGGGTTCTCCATAATGATTTTAGTTTTATGAGGAGGTCTCAAAATTAGCTGGCCTTTTTATTTCCATATTTGAGCTTTTTCAAGTCAACAGCTCTGAGTCTACTGCCCCACCAACAGATGATGGCAGAAAAGATGACACTCTCCATAACAGATGAACAATAAAGGACCCAAGCCCCGTCAAGAATTACATTCTGCTCTGTCCCTTATTGTATATGGCTTTAACCATTGCATCTCCACTTTAAGCTGTTCTCTAGATACTGTAAGTGGTTCTCAACCTTTTTAAGTCACATCCCCCAATTTACCTTCCACTGCTGCCCATGATCACATCCCAGTGCCAATTCAACATTTTTATACGTTGCATTTACTTAATAAGACAAGCACTTAATCACTCACTTCAGCTATTAGTCTCTTTTTCATCTTATTTTGAAACTGGGATTTTTCAAAAAACATAAAGCAGCTTTAAGAGGCTAACTTCCCAAACAGACTGTGACAGTGGTCTCTTTGAAAAAAAAAAAAAAAATACATGTTTAATTTCAAACACCTATGTTTCTGGGACCTTAAATATCAAAAATATCTTTCTGGTCAAGAGCAAAGATGTTTTTCTGTAACTGTTTAACGTGACGTCTGGCCTGCTTATTTGAACAGAGCAGCTTCTTGGCTTTATGTTAGAAACGGCCAAGATATCACTTACAGGAGTTGTGATCTGTATGTGTTTTTCATGTATTTCACTGGTTTGAATTTTTAAAATGGCTGTTTGAGACCAATCCCTAGTGATCCTTCTATGTCTGGTAAGAAGCTGAATTATTTTGCACACTTATATTTTTCCAAAATTATTTGGTGACTCACAGAAATCATCTCGTGACCCCAATTGTGGTTGGTATCCCAAGGTTGAGAATGGTTGGTTGAGATATTCATACCTCCTCCACCACCATCACTTCTTCTTCTAAAATTGTTATGCGCATCCTGTTTCTTTCTTTCTTTCTTTCTTTCTTTCTTTCTTTCTTTCTTTCTTTCTTTCTTTCTTTCTTTCTTTCTTTCTTTCTTTCTTTCTTTCTTTCTTTCTTTCTTTCTTTCTTTCTTTCTTTTCAAACAATGCCACAAAGCGGGCCACCAGCGACCTGTACAGCCCTTCTTGTCTATCTCTACTGAGTACTGGCTCGGAGCTCCTCTGCTCTGCTGTGTCTTTTCAGGACGAGGCCACCTTTGGAGTAAGTTAACACTTACCTTTTGTATCACAGCTCAGTCGAGCTCTGCAGATGGCTGCTCACACTGAGCCTGGTTCTGCTGGAGGTTTCTTCCTGTTAAAAGGTTTTTTTCTCCCTGTCGCTAAACAAGCATGCTTGGTGTGAGGGATTGCCTTCGAGTCAATGACTTGATGCAATCAGCTGGTATTCCTTAGACAAAAAACTTTGAAAAATTCAGACTGTATGATCTGGTTGAGTTGTCTCTAAAGTGCCTTGAGATGATGTGTGGTAACCTGGCACTATATAAACTAAAAATAATTGATACATCCAGCAACTGCAGAGTTGTTTTTTTAATCTTCATTTGTATAGTCTAATGACAGACTTAAATAAAGTGTACCGGTATTATCATTTATATTAATATGTGAAAATGAATGCAGGAATCACAGTTTAGCACCTTTTTATGTTTCATTAACCTGATTTGAGCCCTCACATCCACGCACACACAGTCTCAGTAGTTCTTGCCATTAGCATTTCTGTCACGCAGAGACACCACAGACCACCAAGTTCTTGAAATTATATTTTCTTAAGCTTCTTTAACATAGATTTTGTAAAACATGACAGGTAATCACACATTGTAAACCCTGCAATAGGGACCCTTCTTGATATTTTAAACAAATAATCAAAAGGAATCCCAAAGATATCTTTGAAAAAGTACCGGGGTGGTCCAGACTTAACCAAAGATATGCTAATATCATAGAGCTGTTGAAGTTCAATCCCCCCCTTTGCCACAGATGTGTTAAGTTATTACGCATTTGGCCTTTTAAAAATACGGGCCCTGAATTGGGACACATCAATTATTGTAATGTTTGCAAACAGGGGTCCTGGGCCAGAAGCCATTGGTGTTTGAGGGCCATTGAAAAGTTTGGGAACCCCTGTCCCAATGTAAAGTTAATTCGAGCAGAGTTAAACGGTCACTTTAAAGTCCATGAGAGTATTAATCCATTGAGTGTTTGCTACACCTTGTGGTAATTGATTCACTATAACCAAATAAAATCTTTACATTTTTAAATGTTGTGACTTAAAATGTGTCTTTTATTTTAGCTCAGGAACAATACTTTCCAATTACTGGGAGCTGGCAGATCAGCCAAGAGGCCTGACTGAAAAACCAAGTCAAGCTAAGTCTTTGTGAGCTCATACGGAAAAGCCCAATGAAATCATGGCGGAAGCCAAAAAAAGGGTAGTAAATTCAGTTACTTATATCACTGACAGCATTTTAACCTGAAGAGAAGGGTCTGTTGTAAAGATTTAGTTGAAAACTATTTTCAAGTATTAGTTGAAAAATAGAGACTTATCATTTTCACCTGGATTACCTGGACAAAAAAAAGTAAACATTAATTTATAACATGCTGTTAGCAATGAGAAAACAACAGACTCTTTCGAAGTTTTTTTCAAATAAAAAATTCCAATCTTTTTAGCAGTTGTGCATGGTAAATATTTTCTAAAATAAGCTCATGAAAAAGATTCATATTCTCCATCAACCTGATTTCGTAAAAAAACAAAAACAAAGCGGAGTTATCAGGCAGCACGGGTAATTTTCACAGTTTTACGTTGCTGAGTAAATCTAGGATCTCATCTATCTGGCACTGTGACTCACAATATGTCCAATTTTCAAGCAATGCTTAAATATCTCCACTAGAGGCTCCCTGTTGAGTGAATACACTTTCACTCATTCCACAACCACATGCACACACACATACAGTCCCTCATGCTGTTCCCCTCAAATAGACCTGCAGAACAGTGAGCAGGGTGGATTGCTATTTGGTGTTGCAGGGCATTAGCCACTGATGTCTTAACACTTGTAAATGAACCTTCCTCCCCTCCTAATCTGTCACTTTAATGAACTATAGATTTTATTTCAGCCTCTGTAGTATCACATTCTCAATAATAATCATCAAGCTGATGCTGTTGTCCCCCTCCTACAGAAATTAAATCTTGCTGCCGAGTGCACAACTAATAAAAGATGTTGCTGGAGGAAATAAAAAAATAAATATGATGAATCATAAGCAGCAGGGATTTGTATTCAGATGCAAAAGACAATTAAATAAAGAGTTTGAATTTATCAGCCTCTTCTCCTCTCAAAGGCTCAATAATGGACCACCACCGCTGGGCGCTTGATGTTGCATGTTTAGAAACACATTTAAACAAGCGTTTGTGGACATCCGCACACATAATGCAAACACTTTCAAGCAATTCAAAAACTAGAGCATCACACACTCATAACTGCATCTCAAACTTGGAATGTCTCTTTCACACAAAAAGGAAGTGAATGAAATTTGTACATTTCTGTTGACCCCCACACATCAACACCATAAAAAAACCCATAAAAAAATGAAATTAGGCTGGAGAAACTGCTACATGTTAGCAAATTCTAACTATTAAAATAAGATATCTTAAAGAGTCAAATATAAAACTGGAATCTCTTGACACAAAGACAGTTGTTTCAAACTTAAGCCCTGAGAGCCAGTGTACTGCAACCTAAAGTGCATCTCAGCTTCAACACACCTGACCCAATTATTCGCTAATTAGCAGAGCTCTACTTGACTGCATGAAAGTGAGGTAGTTTAGCCATTTTATTAAGGCATGTAGGGCAAAAGGACCATTCAAAAAGTTGCAGGATACTGGCCCACAAAGATTTAACATTAGTTTCTATTTAGTCTGTGTCTGATACGTTTTTCTTAAAAAAAAAAAAAAAAAAAAAAAACGGAGATATTTTTTTACATTATTTAAACATCATGGGAAATGTAGTTCTTAAATTCTCCTTTCATTGTACATAAAAAACATTGCTGTAAGAAATAAAATCATACCCTTATAGATTAGTTCTGTTTTTGTTCTTTCTATCTGTCTGTAATCCAAATGCCTCTATCAAACATAACTGGCCCGAGTAGTATATATATATATATATATATATATATATATATATATATATATATATATATATATATATATATATATATATATATATATATATGGGGCAGTTTGCTACTGAGTGTATAGCGACAATGATAAACGGCAAAGATATCACTTACAGGAGCTGTGATCTGTATGTGTTTTTCTTGTATTTCACTGATTTACTGATCAATCTATGTTCCCACCCTCACCTATGGCCATGAGATCTGTGTAATGACCGAAAGGACAAGATCACGAACACAAGCGGTGTGCAGTGCTAGGACCAACTCTCTTTACTATTTATATGCTCCCAATCGGTTGAGTTATTAGACAGCGTGGGATTAATTTCCAATGTTATGCTGGTGATACCAGCTAGATCTGTCTATAAATCCAGATGAAGCTAACCCATTACATAGATTACAGGCATGTCTTGAAGACATAAAAACCTGTATGACTCTTAACTTTCTTCTTCTGAATGCAGACAAAACAGAAGTTATAGTCTTTGGACTTTAAATAGTTTACATAATTCTGCAAAGTCAGCAGTTCCTCTTTCAGGGATATCATTTTTGTCATCAAGGACAAGGAGAAATATTGGTCTGAGAATTGGTTAAAAGAAGCCATTTTTATGAAGGGAAACTGGTCATCATTAAAAAGGGGTGGAGGCATTAGGATCCAGTCATCTCCCTCTTACAGTACAATGCTGTTATTGCAAACATGACTCAGCTTTTTGGGAACAATTAGTGGTCATCATTGGAATAACGACCAGTGGCTCAGCTGGTGGTCCTCTTTGCATGTGAGAAACCAGTTTCGATTATCACCATTAAACTTGTTGAGTAGCTGAGTAAAGGTTGTGCTTATAAGGTTTATTTGTTACTCTTCAGACTAAAGAAGTTTTGTGAGGAAGTGAGTAAATATTTCAACAAAGAGGAACCGACACAGAGGAATTAGTGAGGCTTTCTTTCTTTTTACCTGTGTTTTAAGATTGATCAGGACATAGCAGACACTGCCCTATATGGTAGCACAATGTTGACTGCTACACATTTACAATATTTATTGGGACACATCAGATCTGACAGGTTTTGACATTTTCTAAAAATGGGCCTAATTTTCACGTGTCATATGGGCCCGAATAAAAACAATTGTTAGATAATTTCTAACGTGGACTGCTTTAGATATTTTTTCAGCTTCTTTTTTTTATACACAACCCTTAACAGAAAACAAAACAATTTAAAGATCCACATCCTAGATTAGGGGCTTGAGGAGTTAAATAACTGGCATTTTGTCTGATTTGCAACTTTGAAATATTTCAACAAACATATGTAGGATGCCATTTAGGAAGACGCAAAAAAATCTGAAAATCAAATTGATCAAATTGATAGATTTTGTTCTC